CCAGCAGCCCGAGGCCGGGCGCGCCGCCAAGCAACCCAGAAAATCCCTCCTGGCTTGAGCTGCGTGCGGCGGCGGCTGCTGATGGCTGGCCGGCGGCCGCCCGCCTCTTGGCGAGCCAACTAGCGTTCAGCCGCCCACGCGGGGCCGGGCGGTGGCGCACGGAGCGAGGAGGGAAGGAGGGAGCGGCGCGCAGCCCTTCGCTGGCGCAATCGGCGGCCGGGTGGCCCTGCCTGGCCCCGCTGGGAGGAAGGAGGTGGGTGGGCCCGACGGGGCGGAGCGGCTGCCGAGCGAGCCAGGGAGCGTGAGAAGGAAGCGCTGGCCTTGGGCGCTACCGGTTAGGGTAGGGACAGCCCCGAAGGCCGATCCAGCTCGAGTGAGTCACGCTTCCCAAGGCTGCTGCTGCTGCAATCCCACTTCCCTGGCAGCCGGCCCCGTCGAGCTCCGTGGAGCTTTCTCTTGAGCAGACATGCAGGAGCGTGGCGTTGCGAGTGCGGCCGGCGGTCACCAACGCAAGCCCTAAGGCAGGGAGAAGAGACCCATTGATGAGCTGGGGCGTTAATTTCAGTGGGGCCACGTGGAGTAGGACTTAGTTGGATACCATTCTTATCCAGTGGCGTAGCGTGGGGGGTGCAGGGGGGACCGGCGCACCGGGCGCAACATCTGGGGGTTAGGGTTAGGGGGCGCAAATCCACGGGTTAGGGGGCGCAAATTACTTGCCTTGCCCCGGGTGCTGACAACCCACGCCACGCCACTGTTCTTATCTGCTTATGCTTATCTGGGAGCCTTCACCGATTCCCCCACCCTGGGCTTCGCCCTACATGTGCACATTCCACCGCTGAGATCGATCGGCGGAATTGCCACATAATACCCCTAACCACATTTGTAAGAAACATCATTGTTTCGTGCCACACACTTTGGAACTCCCTGCCTATTGAGATCTAGCAGGTGCCTTCACTGTACTTTTTTCCCTTTGCCTGCTAAAAACTTCCCTGTTTAGACAGGCCTATCTAGAAAGTTGAGGTAATTTTAATATGTTTTAGTATTTCAACTTTTGTAGGGTTGTAAGTTTTTTGTTGATTTTACTGTTTTATCTTTTCTAAACCGCTTTTGAGTTTGTTTTTGTTTTTTTACAATCAAGCAGTGTATAAATGTTACTAAATAAATAATAAAGAACCAAGTCTTGCCTAAGAAACTTTTAACAAAAACCTTAAGAATTTTAAATTATGTTTTAAATATGTTTTTTTTAAAAAAAATTAATGCAGTGTTCGAAACACCTAATGTTCTAGGCACATTTTGTGATGGGGCATTTCGTTAGTGCAAGCAGTTTCGGAGCTCTGCGCCTAACATTTCAGATTGAAACTGCAGAGTGGAAGGAAAGGAGGGTCTTTTTCTGCCTCCCAACTTCCAGCTACTCTGAATACTGGAGAAGTGACCCTCTTAAGAATATTTGTGGGATGGGCAGGGGAAGGACTAGGCCATGTGAAAAATGAACATAATACTTCAGCTGCAGTTCATTCATTTTCAGCTTTGTATTCTTGTTATAAAAAAGCATGCCTAGACATTCTGTTGTTGCATCCATAACCTACGTTTAAGGTGCCATTTAGCTCCTAGCTTTCATAGCTCAGTTTCTAACACTGTTTTAATGGCATTGTTTTATCCTTTATGTTTGCCATCCCGGGCTCCTTGGGAGGAAGGGTGGAATATAAATTTAATAAATAATAATTGGTTGTATCCAGTGCTGTGGAAAATATTCCCAGGCTTTCCCAGCTGGATAAATAGGTCTCAACACAAGTGTCCATCAATGGCTATCAATGGCTACTAGTCACAAAGGCCCTACTCTTCCACCACAGCTGGAGGCAGGTTCCCACAAGCATCTTGGTGGCCACTGTGAGGACAGAACAGGAGACTAGATGGCCCACTTCTATGCTTATAAGGGTTTTAGCCTTGTTTTAAATGTATTAGTATTTGTGTTTTTAACTGTTTTAAATTATCTCATGTGTAAATTTCTTAGAGTTATTTAAAGGGTGATCAGTAAATCAAAGATAATTATAAAATAGTAATGATCAAATATTCGCACTTCTGCACTTCTTTCTGCCCCCATTTTTGCTGGTTCCTTAGACACTGGAAGAGGTCCTGTAGCTGATTTTCCTTACTCCAATGCAACACAATTAAATTTGTTAAAATGGGAATAAAAAGCATCTTTCTATTTTTGCAGTGCCCTTTGGAAACAGGCCAGACTTGCATATCAGACTGGTACATCAGTGCTCTTCATTTCCTATCTTGAACCAATAACCTTATGTCACCTGATAAAGAAAGAAAACCTTGAGTTGGCCTGATTTAATCAATCCACCCTTCTAGATTAGCTAAAAAGCTATGTTCACAGCGAATACTGTTTTTAAAATCAGTATTTTTAGTATGCTCAAATGTGAACTATATGCATTTTTTTCATACTATGTAACTTCTATATTGATACTTTTAAAAATCGTTGTTTGTATTTGATTTAGTTTTATTAGATGTTGCTAAAATTATTTTGCTTTGATGCTAGTCATTATGTTTAATCAAAGTTGTTGCAGTAGTTGCAGTGTATGTATTTTGGGCATATGATTTATCAAATCCTTTCATGAAGTTGCTTTTATTGGATTGTTGTTTTTCTTGGATAATTGAGAAATGTTAGAAAAAATACAGTATCTCTTTCAAATAAAAAATTAGGTATAAATACGCATCTCTCACGTAGTCATTTGGGAAGCCATCTCACCATTTGCAGGCTGCTCAGTTCTAGCCTTGCTGATTCAGGTAATTGTGATTTAATTAGGATTTCTCACCTCTGCATAAAAAATAAATATTTTAGATTTGGACTGCTAATATTTTATAAATTTTTATGCCATTAAGCTCATTTATAATCTATTCTGTAATTAAGTTCTACTAAGTAATGTACTTGCTATGGGCCTGAAGAAGCATCCTTGAAGTTTTCTGTGCACTGATACAAAGGGGGACTAACTTTCTCCCTTAATGTGGCAGTTGTAGAGGAAACTTGAGGTGAAAAACATAACTGTCAGGCTCAGTGACTGCTGCATAGAAATCATGCTGGGATTTTGCCTCTGAACAGAGCATTACATGGCTTAGGTCCAAGCTATCTGAAAGACCATATTCCCTCATATGAACCTGCCCAGGTTTTGAGATCTTTCTCATGGTTCTGACACCCTCCCAGGCACATTTGGTGGGGATGCAGGAAAGGGCCTTCTCAGGAGCTGCTCCCAGATTCTGGAACTGCCTCCCTGGAGAAGCTAGCCTGCCTCCCTCCTTGTTGTCCTTCTGCCGGCAGGTGAAGACCTTCTTGTTCCAATAGGCTTTTGGGGAATTGACTGCTTTTAATGAAAGGGCAGGTGCTCTTTTTATTGTAATTATTTGGATGTTTTAAACAGATTGTATATATGTATATAGTTTTAATTCTATTAATGTTTAATTGTTTTTTATTTTTTTCCATGTTTTTAGTGATTCTTTTTTATCTGTAAGTTGCCTTGAGTCCTGTCAGGGAAAAAGGCAGCGTATAAATAAATATACTTCTTCTTCTTCTTCTTCTTCTCCTCATTGTCACAATGCTGCTCAGTGTACACCCATTAAATTTAACAAACATGACTAACTAAGGTCCATCGATTCCAGGTGGCCTATTCTGAACAGAACTTAGTTCGATAAAGCCTAACAACAGCAGTAGTTCAGTTGTTCACTACAAATGTTCATAAGGCTCCCCCCCCACACACATATAAACACACTTATAACTGAAGCACTGCCTGGGAATAAGCTCAATTGAACACAGCAGAAATGACTTCCAAGTAATTCATAGGATGCATAGGACTGGGTTATGCATCTGCAATCCAATGCACATTCACCGGCGAGGAGGCTAGAAGTATTTCTAGGTTGGCTTGAGATAGCTTTCAGAGTTAGGGGGTTAGGCAGAATCATGTGTGAAGGGAGCATCAAGCAGCTGTTGGCCATCATAGAACCTCCAGTTCAGAGCCAGTGGACCTGCAAGTACAAGCTAGTGGGCTCAGGCTTCTAGGTAGGGCTACTGCATTTCCACCCCACTTATGAGTTTCATAGGGGCATCTTGTTAGTCACTGTTGGCAACAAGATGCTGAAGTATACTGAACCTTGGCCCAGCTCAGTAAGACTCTTCTTTATATTCCAAGTGGCTGTAAGGCCCTATGCACACTTGTTTGGGAGTGTGCCCCATTGTGGGAATTTCAAGTCAACATATGTAGGGTTGGGGCTGTAAGAGGAGGAAGAAATTTGACCATGCTGAGCCAATAAAATACTTGCAAAATATAACAAAAACCTCCCTTATTTGTGGCTTCCTTTGCACCTGGAACTAGACTTTGCAGCGGAACAAGGACTACCTTGCAGGACAACAAAGGGTCTATTTAGCCCATAGTTCTGTTCCCAGCAGCTCCTGGCCAGATGTTGTTAAGAAGCTCCCAAGCACAAAGGGAACCGCTAGCTGCACTCTTATTCTCAGCAGCTGGCTTTCAGGAGGTGTACTACCTCTGTATGTCAAACTTGCTGTAACAGCCACTGTAACTGCTGTGACAGCCACTTGCTGTAACCGCCAGCATGGCCGATGATCAGGGGTGATGTGAGCTGGTGTTCAGTAATGTCTGGAGGGCACCACATCTCCTTTCCAACCCTTCCTACATAAGAAGCTGCCTCATGCGGAAGTCAGACAGTTAGTCTGACTATCTCAGTATTGTCTACTGAATGGCTGGCAGTGGCTCACCAGGATTTCAAATGGTGGTCTCTCTCCTTGCCATACCTGGAGATGTCAAGAATTGAACCTAAGACCTCCTGCATCCAAAGTATGTGCTCTACCTCTGTGCTATAGCCCTTCCCTCAAGATACAGGGACACAGGAAGCTGCTTTGTACTGAGTCAGACCACTGATTCATCTAGCTCAGTGTGGTCCCTAGACTGATTGGTAGTAGTTGACCAGAATTTCAGGCAGGAGAGTTTCCCAGCCCTACTTGTAAATGCCAGGGACCACCTGCATGCTAAGCAGGAGCTCTACCACTGAACTACAGCCTAGAATTCACCTCCAGATCTGATTGTTTTTAACACCTGAGGTGGAGGCAGGGCTCTCAGTTGTACCTGGGTATGCTGCCAGGCAGATACTCTGTCACTAAGCTATGGCCCTTCTGCTTGTGTCAATGACTTTGTTCAAGTTTACTTATAGTCTACAGACCTTCGGATTCTAAAACCAAACATTTGATTCCATACAATGAATGGGATAGTAACTTAAAAAGGCAAGGAAGCACACTAACCACCCACTTTTCATTCTAAATCTTTTTTAAGTAGGACAAAATCAAAACTAGTAATGCTTAACAATTCTGCAAAAGTTTCTTTTGTATCATCATAGTTGGGATTCAAATGCTGCAACCCATTCAGTTTACATGAGACTCAGGTTGTGTATCAATGACCAGAGAGGCTGTAAAGCACTCTAAAGGTCTTCATGGGAAAGGAACAATCAAGGGATCCATGTCCAGCTCCTTTATCCACATAAAAATTACAAAATATGGCAACAGTTCCTAAATCTTCACTACTACAGGTGAAAACACAACAATCATAAGGAATACCATTAAATCTTCGAAAATAACTGAGGGAAGAACAAAGTCAAGTTAGTGCAAACACTTCCCTATATTTTGGGGCAAATAAGGACCTAAAGTAATTAAGCACAAGGTTCGCTAGCTTAGATGGGTTTTCAATGCAGATTAGACAAATCCATGGTGCAAAATAGGGTCACTTGGAAGTCCCCATGGACGCAGAAAGTCTTCCTATCAGTACCAGGTGCTGAGGAAGGCTGTTGGTTTCATACCCTGCTTGGGAGTTTTCAGAGATATCTGGCAGCTAACATAATTCTAGACCTGTATGAACACCATATATTTAAAGCACATCACTTCCCACCCAAAGAATCCTGGAAACCGTAGTTTACCTCCTTACAATTTCCAGCACCCTTTACAAACTACAGTTGCCTGCATTCTTTGGGGAAGGTCATGTTGCTTTTAATGTATGATGTGTACACAGCCATTATGAATATCTGGCCTGATCTAGTCTGGTCTTTCTTTCTTTCTTTCTTTCTTTCTTATTTATTTATTTATTTAGTACTTATGGTCCCATTAGGCAAAGGTTGGCATTTTATTGGCCAATATACAGTCTAGCAGAAACCAGGCCATCAAAATGTTTTATTTAGAAAGGTGTACTTAACAGAAGATGGTGCTAAGCCTACAGGACAGAGGGGAAAGGCCCTGATCCGAGACAGCTATTGGAAGTGGGCGCTGCAGTAGGTCACAGCTGTCCCAAGTGGTGGGCAGATTTATCCAAGCTGTTAATTTGATTAATTGAAAAGAAGTGCCTCTAGAGAAGCAGTCCCGTTCTCAGGGGTCAGGGGAGGTCACTGAGCTGAAGCACTCAATCAGGACTTTCTCTTAAGGCCAAAGGGGATTGGAATGCCGCCTCTTTCAAAGCCGGGCAGATTGGCGCCAAATTTCTTGCATTGCTCCCTGCCTCTTCTGTTGCACTCGACCGAACACACCCGCCATCACAAACAAAGGCAGCAAATCCAGCTCAATTTGGCCTGTGTGTCTAACTACCAATCCTCATACAAAAGGAAACTGGCATAAAATAAATAAAACAGCCTGTTTTCCATCTGCAGCCTTCATTTAAGGGCACCTTCATTCACAGGCCAGCTGAGAGGATTTAGCGACCCTCGTGCAAACATGAGTGTGCCCCCATCTCATGCAATTGCATTTTGAAAGTGACCACTGTTCATGGTGTTTTGGGGATGCCAGTTCCTTTACTCCCCTTTCCCTTCCCACCTCCTTGGTGCAGCACTCCCTCTGGTGGTGATGCCTGGAATTTGTCAGCTTCCTGACCAGTGGGCTGGTGACTGTTTCTGTTGGGTTACATCCAATGCTAGTCTTATTCAGAGAGCAGATCTATTAGAATGAATGGTCCTGACTAACTTAGGCTCATTAATTTCAACGGGTCTTCTCTGAGTCGAAGTTAGTTGAATGCACAGATTCTTAGTTGGAGCAATATGTGGAACTGCACTGTTACATACTATGCATTCCACATTTGTAAGAAACCAATCTTTTAGAGCAGCAGCACATACCCTTTCTTTAAAAAAAGTTTTTACTGATAACCTCATTGCTTTATTCTTTTTGCAAACCACTCTGAGGATATTGGGTTGTTGTTTTTACACTCAAGCGTTATATAAAATTTATAAAATAAACAAGTGACTCCTTGTCCCCAAGATGCTGCCATTGGTGGGAGGCAAATCAGTGGCTTGAATAGCCTTTCATATCCCTCCCTATCCACAACGATCCTTCAGCTAGCCTGGTTGCTGAGTCAGACCATTGTTCCATGTGGCTCAGTATCATCTCTTACTGACATGCAACCAATGTCTTTCTCAATCTTCACTAGGAAGCCCCAGGATTGAACTTGGGACTTTTTGCATTCAAAGCATGTGCTCTACCAGCGCTGCCCTACCCTTCCTCCTGGTGCAATAATAGTGATAATAATTTTTCAAATTTCTTTTAAAGGAAAAAGATGAAATAACATTTAAATAGGCAGAGATTGGGGTGGGGGTGGGGAAACCCAGACAAATAATGGCATAAAATTAATACTCAGAAATAAGAGTAGGCCACCCTCACTTCACATTGTAGATTCAGTGCATACTGGTACACAAATCTTAAACTGAACCTCTGTTGAGGCATATATGAAATATGCTCAAGGCACACAGGGCAGTGAGGTCCTCAGACTGATGCGTAACAGACAGTACGTATTTATCCTTACAGGATCAAAGTACGTGGGATAGCTCAGTTGGCAGAGCATGAGACTCTAATTCTCAGAGTCATGTTGTGCAAATGATTCCTGCATTGCAGGGAGCCGGAGGTTCTATGCACCTCTACGATTCTAGGATTATATAAGTCTATTAGCCACTGTAAGAACTCACTTGTGATGTGCATCCATTCATCCCCGAACTACAGGGATATAGACTCACTGAATCATAGAACTGCAGAGTCAGAAAGGTCATCTAGTCCAACCACCTGCAATGCAGGGAACCACAGCTAATCACAGCTTGGTTGGATGCAAGCCCAAATCCAGAAAAGAGGTCACAGAGCAAAGCCTGGTCAAAAGGGCCACACCTCACTGACACCTTCAAGCAGGATGCCTTCCTCAGGGCCTCACTAGTAATTTTAAAGAACATACCTGCAAATATCAAGGACTTTGCCAGTACAAGGGTAAATGTGAGTAACAACTTCAGTGCTGCAATAATAATATTAACATTATGCTTCCCCCCCCACCCTAACTACAGTCAGCCTCCTTCAAACATCCAAGGTTTCGGTAAATGAGCTTCCTAGTCAAAGGGTATGACTTTCCAGTATAGGTTTGTTTGAGTTGTTTCAAATGTTAGTCATACTCAGAGCAGCCCCACTAAAATTAATGGAGATGGTTAATTTCAATGGGGCTACTCTAGGGCTGCCAGACGTCCGGATTTCCCCAGACATTACTAGGATTTCAAAGGCAGAATTGATGTCCGGGGGGAATTTTTGAAATGTGGTGCTTTGTCCTGGATCTTCGGCAAATCAAAAATCGAATTCTTTTTGGTGTTGATGTGGGGGGAAAAGCTCAACAATTTTGGGGTTTCTTTGCTTGCCCCCCACCCCCCCAGAAAGAATAAATGTGGTCGTGAGCAAATTTCATGATAAGCTAGTAAGGTAACTACAGTGGGCTGTCACCAATGCTAGTTCGACTCAAGAGTAGGTCTACTGAAGTTAATGAAAACAACTCGCTTAGGTCCTTCAATTGCAATGGGTCAACTCTGAGGTGGGCACAAATCAGAGGGTCTGGCTGTTTTTTATCGGAAGGAAAGAACACAGGGTATTCATTTTGTTTGCTGCAGCAACAATACTTTTTTAGAAATAAAGCTTTCGAGGCAAAGAGAGGTTTGTTCAAAAGCAGAAGGCAGGAAACACATGTTCATTTAACAAATATGTAAGTTAGTGTGCAGCTCTGCGATTTTCCCCCTTGCAGTTATCTGAGGCTAAAAAGCAGCTGACATATATCCTGCCGGATCTGTTTGCTGCTGACTCCTTGACCACAATACATTGACCAGGACAGGTGAAGGATTCCTGAGCAGCGGGGGTGGGATGGAGCAAAAAGTGCTTGAGCCCACTCCCCCACCCAAACACATAAACCTAATTAGCAGCATCAAGGGGTTATATTTATCACAGGCGCTTGTGGGAAAGCGGGCGGCTCAAAGGTTTATGCTTCTGGGGAGTGTAATATGTCTGGCTGCCTCAACTGAAGACAAAATTTATCACGAGGAGATAACGCCATGTCTGTCCGAAACAATTTATTCAGCAAAAATAGGAGCCAGATAGGGGAAGCATGGCTTTTAGAAGGCTGCATTTGGTTTGTAGCAAATGACAAAAAGAACCAAATAAGCCCCCTTGGCTTCAGGTTTTCATTTGTTACGAAACCTGCTATGTCAGTAACAAATGGGTACAAGGCAAGTTTAGTTTCGTAAACCTAGGCTTCCTATGTGCCGTACATTTAAAGCACATGGTTTTCCTCAAAAGAATCCTGTGAACTGTAGTTTACCCTTCACAGAGCTACAATTCCCAGTACCCAGGGTTCTTTGGGGAAAGCCATGCGCTTTAAATGTATGATGAATTGGCTCCTCCTCTCTCTGAACCGTTCCATTCCAGCAGCTCGTTTTAAGTTATAAGAACTACAGTGTAAGTTCAAGAACTGGATCACTAGCTTCCTTGTTTCCTCTTTCCTCCTCATCGCCTTTTCCTTTTGTGATGTGTGTTTTAGAATGTAAACCTGCAGGCAGGCAGGGATAAATTCCCAGGATACTTTGGGGGGAAAGGCACGTGTTTTAGCACATATGCAGCCCAATTCGTACCCATTCACCACGCTTTCAGGAGTGGGGGGCTTGCCTTCTTCCTTGGCAACATATCTGATGGATTCCTCCCCCCCCCAACACACATATTGTATCATTCAGGGACATTTGCATCTGAGAGTGCACAAACAACAGCTGCGAATTGTAAGTGAGGCTCCCTGCAAATTCACTTCCTAAACGTAGGCATATTGCATGTATGGTAGGGTGGACAACTGTCGCCACCACAGGTAGGGTACACAGGTAGGGTACAATAAAGCCCGACACCACTTTGCCTACTCAGAAGGGTCTCTCTCCAAATGAGAATCTATAGCACTGGGACTGAAACACAGTGTTCCTCAACAAGGAGGCTTCGCTTTCAACCCGCTTTGCTACTACCCATCTGGGCATCTGGGGTTACATTAATAGCTGTTGTCAGCTATTTTAACAGGATGAAGCAAACTGGAGGGTGGAATGACAAGAAAGCAGCCAAAGAGAACTAGCGATGTATCTCTTTTCTGCAGTGGACTGACCTTGTGTAGCATTGCATACACAAACACATCCATGCATAGGCACATGCAATACATAAATATAATACACCTGGGAGGGAGTTATGAGTTGGTTGATTTACTCTTCGCCAAAAGGTCAGGTTGTTTCCAGACTGTGTTAATAAGCAGTTACTGAATGGCTTGCCATCCTGGCGGGAATGAGCAGAGGGAGGGAAGGCAGATTGTGAAAGTCCACACCATGGTGCTCCAGGGCCGGTGATGCTCACTCAGACTAGGTCACGGCTTTTGTCTCTCAAAATAAGAAAGCCGTGCATGTGTGGGTGGCACCAGGGGGAGTTGGCAGGAGAGCAAATGACCCCCCATACAAGGAGTTTCGCCCCTCCACTTGTCCCCCACCCCAGCCCATTGATGGACTCTCTGTCATTAACATACACTATATTTTTCTTTCAGTTCTCTTAAAATGTCGGACACAACTCGCCCACCTGGAAATATACTTTGCCACTTCTTTGCATTTGGACACCTCTTAAAATATCACAACCAGATTTTGTGTGATGGTTCCTGATATCAAGGAGCAGGGGTTTTTTCGTCTATGATTGGATGCCGTTTTGAATCAAGATGCAGACTGAACCTTTCCAAACGGCACTGCTGTTGTTGTTTTCCTTAGAATTCCCAAGCAGTGCCGAGTACAATATAATTTCCAGTATCTGCCCACCCTGGACATTTTTTGTGGCATCACCTCAGCTTGCATCTTCCTCTCTCCACCCCCACCCTGGCTTGTGTGCTCTTTCTCATTCTCTCCTTTTGTGCCTATCTTAAACGTGAGGCTGCTCCTTCCTCTTAACGAGAAGTTAAGCTGCTAAAGGAAATCGATTCTCTGAGAGCACAGCATGGCTCGCCTCTCCAGCGAAACCCTCTGAGGTTTCATACAGGAAACCTCAGAAACCTTAGAAGCCAGAAAGCTTTTAAAAGCATTTACGATCAAAAAGCCAAGGTGAGAGAGAGAGAGAGAGAGCGTGCAAGAGAGAGTCAACGTCTCCTGAGCAGGATATGCCTCTTGGAGACAGCTGTCCATCTAGGTTTCAGGGAAGCCCACGTCATCTGCTAAGGCTTGACCTCCGGGGTGAACCATCCTAAGTTTAAAACACCAATAGCAAGAAACTACACTTCTGTTTGCTTCTCTGTTGTAGGGATCGGGAAGAAATTTGATTTAGTTCTCATTTAAAGGCAAACCGCCATAACTGCACTTTGTAAAACAAGATAGGAACCAAAATACAGCCATCCTTTGAAATTTGCACTTCTCTGGATTTTGCAATGCAGTTCTCCAGGCAAGTAATGCACACGAAGGTGCATATACTAGGGAAATGTGTGTATACAAAATGCATATATTAGTGAAAATAGCATACAAAAATGCATTATATCAGTGAACATTGCATATATATATATATTGTGTGTGTGTGTATATATATATGTGTGTGGATGAAAATTGCATACATAGCCATGGACTAAGCATGCACTCAGGAGTGACTTGTTTGTTAAGGATTGAGAAAGGATGAATTGGTGTCACTTAGGCATTCACTTACAACTTTTCAAATTAATATTAGATATATAGATAGATATAATGAAAATTCATATTTAAATACAAATCAAAATGTGTCCTTTACATACATATTTTATCCTGACACACATTTCTAATCATATTTCTATCCTAAAATACACAATGGCTTATGCTTTGTTGAGCTGAAACGGTATCATAAAAATTGGAGAAGTGCGAAATCAGAATTGTGTAATTAAACCTACAGAATTCACGGCCACAACATGTGGTGGTGGCAGCGGCGGCAGCCACAAGCTTAGACTACTCAAAAAACAAAGACAAACTGCCTTTGACTAAGCAAGGCTATTTTTCTACGTAGTGGAGTATTCCTGAGTTGTGTACTCTGGCAATAGCTCTCCAGGGTTCCAAGAGAAGCTCTTCTCCATTGCCTGCTTATACTGGAGTTAGCAGGGACCGCACCTGGGACTGGTGTGATGCAAAGCAGGTGCTCTACCATTGCACAAAGGCCCCTTGAACTTGGTTAGACAAATCCAACAGCTATGAGATACAGCACAGCTAAATGGAACACCCATGTTCCAGGGCAGTATAGCCTCTGAGTCTTGAAAGCAGTATCAGGCAATAGGGGGAAGGGATGTTGCCCTCACGCCCTGCATAAGGACACATGATAGAGGTGCACGGTGTGGAGAAAACGGACAGAGAGAAAAATGGTTTTCTCCCTCTCTCATCTAACACTGGAACTTGGGGATCCTCAAATGAAACTTGGTGTTGGAATATTCCAGGGCAGACAAGAAAGGAATGACTTCTTCACACAGCACATGAAATTTGCTCTCCCAGAGGCAGTGGCAGCGCCAACTTTGGATGGCTTTAAAAGAGGATTAGACAGATTCACCGAGGGTAAGGAGCTATCAGTGGCTCCTAACCACAATGGCTACATTCTACCTCCGCTGTCAGAGGCAGTGTGCCTCTGAATACCAGTTGCTGGCATTCACAAGTGGGGGAAACCTGCTCTTGCACTTGGGTCCTTGCTTGTGGGCTTCCCATTGGGGCACCTGGCTGGCCCCTGTGAGAACCAGAGGCCGGACTAGATGGGCCTTTGGCCTGGTCCAGCTGCAGGGCTCCTCTTATGCCCTTGTGCCTGTGAGCTTTCCAGGGGCTTGGCACTCCTGCGAGCCTGCGGGAGGCCCTGAGTTGCTGCTTTGTTTCCTCCCTAAACCATCCCAATTATTTCACTGATGGAATCCAGACAGGGTTTTTCTCCCACAAGGGCAGCGGAGGGTGTTGAGGGAGGAGGAGGAGGAAGGGCAGTCAACTGGCAGGCCGGCTGCAGGCTCAGGCATGTTTCTGGAACGTAGCTGTGGGGGAAAGTTATTCATCACTTAATTCCTCCCTCGAGGTTTCTCGGCCTCCTTTTTCCCACCACCAGGCCTATTATTTCAGTCACTGAAGGTATCCGGTTTGGGCTGTCAGACTGGGAGGGGCCCACCTCCTCGGTGACACAGGGCACAATGCATGGGAAAAGTGTCAGCCCGCCCAGCCCGCACGCATGCCGCTTGCCTCACTGGAAACTCGCCTGCGGTGGGTTGTTCGTGTCATTACAACAGCTGCGCGCTGCCGGCAGGCCGCCATAACCTCTCCCAACTTGCTGCGTCAGGAGGGGGGGGGTGGAGAAGAGAGGGAGGGAGGTAAGCCAGAGGGTTTGTGGTAGGGACATAATGAAGTAAGGAAGGTGGAATAAAAGGGCCTGCATAACTTCGTGCATGTGGACAGGCTACTGGGCCAATTTTGGGTTTGATGGGTTTGTTTGGTTTGGGGTAGCAGTGGGGCAGGAATTTGCCTTATAAACCAGGCTGTTTTTATTAAGAATGTAAGATGAGCCTTACTGGATTGGGCCAATGGCCCTTCTGGTCCAGCATCCTGTTCTGACAGTGGCCAGCCAGATGCCGCAATAGGAAACCTTTAAGCAGAACTAGAGCACAATATCTCTCTTCCTACTTGCAATGATCAGCGACTGGCATTGGGAGGCATACTGCCTCTGGCAGCGGAGGCAGGTGGAACATAGACATCATAGCTAGAAGACATTGATAGCCTTATCCTCTATGAATTTCTCTGACTGATCCTCCTTTTTAAGAACAAAAGAATAATCCTTTGGTTGTTTTCGGCTAAGTTTTTCTCAGTGTAGGTGCACTGAAATTAAGGGACCTAAACCTAGTCATGTTCTATTATGGGTAAAACTTAATGCCATCCAATATCTCTGAAGGATGGGACTGAGGGCCTAAACATAGTATAACACTCCTTAAACCTTACCAATACTTGGAGTTGCCTTTTACTGAGTCACATCATTCGTCCTTTTAGCCTAACACAGCAGGGACTTTTCCCAGCTGTGCCCTTGGAGAGCTAGTCTTTAGGGTGGTCACTTAAACCACCCAAAAAAGAAAGGCAAAAATACAAAAGAGGGCACAAATCTGCATATGCTAATTTATATGTATAGAAACAAATTTAGAAATAATTGCTATCATTTAAACAGTAACACAGGAAGCTGCCCCATTTCCCCGTCCCCCTTTAAATCAGTCTTAATATCAGGCAGAACACCCACTCATGCAGAGATACAGCATGAGCCTCCTTTCTGGATGGCACTTCTAGGTCCCAGAAGCCTTTAGTCTGGGAATGCAGAAGCTGTGGCCTTCCATATGCTGCTGGACTACAACTCCCACTATCCCTGACCACTGATCTCACTGGCTACTGCTGATGGGAGCTGTAGTCTAATAAACATCTGGATAGCACTGCAAGTTTCCCACTCCTGTTCAAAGCGTGTGTTCTCCCACTGAGCTTTGTATTTCACCACAGTGGGGAAGACTAACCAGGTGGTCTCTGTACTTCATGCTCAGACAGCTCAGACAACTAGCTAGATGCTAGATGCTTGAAGCTAGATGCTTGAAGCTAGATGCTAGATGCTTGAAGTTGTGGGCAACTTCAAGGCCCTGTTAACCCCTTGGAGCATCATTTTAAAAAGCCCCCTGTCCTCTGTTAAAGTAGGCTACATGACTACGTTAGCCAAAGTAGACGTGGCACCGTGGTTAGATCTCCCTGCAATATTTTGGAAATTTACCATGCAGGCACTTCTATTTAACAAAGCACAATTTTGCTGTGTATTGTACAATTATACAACTGTAGAGTTAGAAGGAACCTAAAGAGTTTTGTTGTGCAATTGCACAACGAAAGCTCTAGCAGCAATTAATTCTTTTTCTTAAGATATACCTTCCACTCAAATGAAGACTAAACAGCAGAGGTTGCTCCATGCAAGCTAACAGCTCAGAGGTTTTTCAAAGCTGTCCTCCCCACTTAGAAGGTCCTCCCCATCCCCTCTGCTTGTAATTCTGGCCCCTGCAGCCTTTAGCCTTAGGATGTGAGAGGTAAGGTGATGTGAGGTACTTCAGGCAAACGGTGCAGGTTTGAGAAGATGGCTTAAAGAGATCTGTTCTACCAGCTTTACCTGTATGAGCAGTGCCACTGTGGTGAACTTTGACCCGGCATAGATGAAAACTCATGCTCTGTGATTTCTTTAGCTATATAAATGTGCTCGGCTTTTAGTTTGCCGCTGCAGGTTCTGCAGCAAGATCACCTAATTTTTGCACCAGGTGAAGCACAATTCCACAACCTGTGCACAATATGCAAATAAGAATTTGCACTGTTGCGCCTACTGCACTTGCTCTAATCAATGTGGAGATGAGTAATAAAAGCACCTGCTTTGTGTGTAGATAAGTCACTGGTTCGATCCCTGCCATCCCTATTTTAAAAGGATCAGAAAGCAGGTGATGAGGAAATACCTCTGCCTGACACCCTGGGGAGCTGCTGCCAGTCAGAGTACACATCAGGGAAGGATAACTGCAGAGGTATTTCCAAATGCAGCCCTCCAGGCATCTCTGTTTGACTCTCAGGACTCTTCTCAGACTGCACCCCACTTCCACAAGCCACATCCTCTTTGAGTGGTTTTGCCTGCCTGAAATAGGTCCTCGAACTGTGAAATGCATCTTG